GCTCACCAGACAGACAGAGAGAGACATAGAGACAGAAAACGAGAAATCACCCCCAAGGGGGGATGGTCACGCCGCAATCCCTTCTCCTTCATTCTCCTCTCAGGATCTTGGGCACGCACGCACATGCACCCGGCGTGAGTTTTAAGCCACCGGGTCCGGGACACGAACCGCAGTCAACTACGTGGGAGTCCAGCCACATAGCCTTTACGCTAACTGCTGGTTCCCGGTAAAACTTTATTTTGTTGGAGTCTGCCTTGTTTTAACCAAACAAATCGCTCTCAAATGTAAAAATTAAGGGTGGTAATTCAACTTAAATTCTCTTCCTTCACCAGCCTGTGTTTGTAGTAGTTATTGATGATAGTCTCATCACTAATTAATCTCCCAGTTTATATACATTGATATGGTTTTTGCAGGCATAACAGCAGCTTATTGTAATGTTTGTATTTTAGTTTATTCGACTTGAATCAACATATAAGGACTCTCACACTGCTGAAGAGAGAAAAAGAAAATCTGTGGTAAGTATATTAATATTGTACTTGATATTTACTTTTTTCATCTTTTTAGCTTTACTATAGGGTATGTGAGCTTGACAGAGAGAAAAAAAATAAGAAATTACCCCCTGTGGGAGATGACTGTGCCATAGTTCCTTCTCCATTCTCCTCTTGGGATTTTGGGCATGCACACACATACTCATGCTCACAGTGTTTTTAAGCCATTGGGTCTGGGACTCGAACCCCAAAGTTAGGCTGCCTTAACCACCATGCCACTGGCTAGCCCCAGAATATTTGCTTTTAAAGAGCCATGTATCAGGAAAAGTACCATAGTTAGAAAATAAGTCAGATTGAGTCTACTATTGGGTTTTGGTTATTTTATTTCAAATAGTAATAAGCATTTGCATAAAGAAGAGGTCTTCACTTGTATATAATTCTTCTGTTTTTTAGGATCCCATTGGAGGAGAATCTATGCCTATTCCAACTATTGATACATCACGCAAAAAGGTAATAGATAGTTTATTAACAAGTAAAATATGTAGGTAAAACCACATTGATCACCTATAAGTACAAAAAAGCTTATTAAAAGACTAGCACTGGAAAAGGTTAAAATTTGTCCCAGTTTTCAAGAACTGGCAATTGAGTTGGAGTTAGGGTGAGGGTTGGGATTGGAAATAGGAAACAAAATATAGTGCTGAATGCGCCTCAAAGTCTAGAGAAGAGGTAATAATTTAAAATGACTTCGTGATTTGTTTAAATCATGTTCACCCTTTGTTTTTTATATACCCTTGAAAAAGCAATTAGGTGGTCAGCACAGGAATTTTCTTACCAATGCCTGATTGTGTATCTTTTATATACCATTGCTTGCTGTCAAAATTTAGAATTGACGATTTAAAAACATGTGTATTAATATTTTGGAGGAACCAAATGTAGCAGTGTACATAGTAAGTACTATTAAAACATCAAGAGCCCTTGAGTCTCAGCTTTAAAGTTTATTCTTTAAAGAATTATTGAGACTAATAATTTAAAGTATTCTAGTTCTTAACAGACCTGTAAGAACAGGTTAATTCAGCATGGTGAAGGGCAAGAACACATGCATCTGTGTCCATGTGCCTCTTACCTGGTCTCATCCCCTTCCCTCTATGAACCTACCAGGAATTAATCATGCTTCCAGCCTCCAGCTCTAATAACCATAATTCTGATTCCTTCTCAAAGGCCCACCTTTAACACCATAGTCAGATTAAGTTTTCACCCTCTTAATCTGATTCCATCACAGCCAAATCGCAACATCAGAATTTTTGAGTGACATTGAAACCATAGCATGTAGGATTAAGCATGTTAGCTAATAGGCAGCTGCTCCAAAATCAGACTTGTATAAATCAGAAATAGAAATAGCCCTTCTCTGAGAGTTTACAGTAAACAAAATGGCTCATTTCCACCCCTCTCATTGAAGAATAGTGTTTCTCATCACAATCACTGTTACCAACATGTTCCTTAGGACGTATTGGCCATTCTTAGCAAAATAATATCCTCACAGGCTGTTGGTTGTAAAATCTGTAAAAGTTCTCTTATAAGACCGAGTTATTAAATTATGAGTATATTATGTGTGATAATAGAAGAAAAAAGTTGGAATAGCTGTTAAAGTGTGGAAGAGTAAAATGACATATCTGGGGTCTAAAATACTTTAAGTATAAAAGGTAAGTGAGTAAAGAAACAAGTGTGGCAAAATTTTAATAATGTCTGAGGTTTGGTTATGGCATCTAATTTTGCCCTGTTCTCTACTTTCATGTATGTCTGAATTTTTCACATGTCTTTTGAGTGAGCATGGTAATGGTATAGATACTTGTTTTACCAAGATAACACAAGAGAATAAACTCTTGAAGTTCTCTCTCTTTAAAAAAAAAAAATTATTATTTTACTTAACTTTATTTATTTATTTGAATTTGACCAGAGAGGGACAGAGAAAAAGAGAAGTAAAGTGAGAAAGCAAACTACCAGGTCCAGAACTCAAACTGCAGTCTGCCGTATAAGAGTCCAGCACCCTTAACCACCATGCCACCTGCTGGCCCCGCAGTTCTCTCTTGACAAAAAAAAAAGAAACATAGTATTTCCATCACACAAAAGCTATATCTCAGGGGACCAGCAGTTAGCATAATGGCTATGTTGCTGGACTCCCATGTAGTCGACCGCGGTTCGCGTCCTGGACCTGGTGGCTTAAAACTCACGCAAGGCGTGTGTGTGTGTGCGTGCCCAAGATCCTAGAGGAGAATGGAGGAGAAGGGATTGCGGTGTGGCCATCCCCCTTGGGGGGTGATTTCTCACTTTCTATCTCTCTGTCTCTCTCTGTCTGGTGAGCACACGTGCCCTATAGCAAAAACCTCTCCAAAGGGAAGAAAAAGAAAAGGCTATATTTCAGGGGTCTCTTTGCTTCTCATTTTCTTAGATTTTGCCTTTGTTGTGTAATAATCTTCAGTGTCCTCAAAATCTCTCACACAGATGTACCTGAATTTTACCATCAAAGTTACTAACTTGACTGCAAAGTTCAGTTTTCCTACAAACTTAAGTATCTCACAGTTGGGTTCCAGCGTTCTTCTCCATGAGTGTATTAACTCAGAACTAATTGAGGAACACAACTCTCATATCAAATTTTCCTCCATTACACACACTCATTTCTCACCTCACACCTAGTTTCCTGTTTAGTCACCATGCACTTCCTATTTCTCTTTACCATTGCTTGCTTTAAAGAGGACTGTTCTTTATGTTGTTCTACCCAGAAGTGGCTATTGATTTTATCAAGGTTAGTACACTTTTCCTAGACATATTCACACTCCTGCCACTTCCACCCTTTCTCCTATCCCTCTGCTTTTATCTCTATGAAAGAAAAAAAGAGAGGAAGAGAGGAAGAAAGAGAGGCAGAAAGAAAGAAACAGGCAGACAGACCAAAAGGAAGAAATACCTATGAACACTGGAAGGAAATACTCAGCACACACTTGAGTGTTGAGGAGCTTACAGGATTTGGAGAAAAACTCAGTTTTATGATTGGTTTACTAGTAGCGCCTTTATAATATATATGTGCTTTTCCTTTTCTGTTTTTGTCTTTCTAATAGAGACTACCCAGTAAAGAACTTCCAGATTCATCATCTCCAGTTCCAGCAAATAACATCCGTGTCATTAAAAATTCCATTCGACTGACCCTTAATCGGTAAAAGCAGTGCCTCCTCACTTAAGTGAACATGCAATCATTTAGTGGATAGATGCAGCCGTTCTTTTTCAAGTAGAAGTGGCTGTCATACATAAAATAAGGTGAAAGTTACAGTCATCAGCCTAATGACCTTGAAGTGGTTTTCGAACTCTCACACTTTGACCTGCAGATGCTGTAGCATTTTCTCACTGGTTGCTACATACACTTCTCTGAGGATCACCTGCTGTCAAATTGTCATCTACAGTATTATGGCTTTGCATTTGGAGGTTTTACTGCCTTAACTTTCAGTGCTTGTTTCTCTGTCATGGGAACCAGTTCTTGGCCACTCGGACACTGATTTAAGTCCAGAACGTCATTGTTTGTTTTGTTTTGTTTTTGGTGTTTTTTTATTGTTGTTGTTTATTTGTTTTGTTTTGTATCTTATGTTGTAATCATTGTATAGAACTGAAAAAGTTAAAAAAAACTTGTAACTTTCCAAATGTTAACACATTTACTTTAACATTGAAGCCACTTTGTGAAACTGAGATAAATGAATGTGAGGTATCTTTTCTGCTTTCTTCATTTGTGTAGATGTACTGTCTGTTTTGTTGATTTAAATTATTTTTTTCCAGATCGGCATATGTAATATTTAAACTCTCTTTTTTTTTTTTTTTTGTGCCTTTCTGTCCAAATGTTGCATAGTTACCAGGGAGGATTAGTCCAATGATTACATAAGACTTGGGCACCATAAATTCTCTATATTTTGCCTCCCATGGAGGCCTTCAAAATGCATCTTTATTAAAAATCAAAATATAACCAGGATACTGAAAGTCAGTATATGAATGGTGAAATTGTTACATATCCTACCTTCATGCCATTCTTGTTAGTTGACTGGTATTTTTTACTGAGGAGCAACTCATTCCAGCATCAACAATAAGATACCTTTAAGTATGGCAAACTTGTATCTTTGAGGTGTAAAATTAACTTGGCATGATTATTCCTGACCACTTCTTACCCCACAGCATCAAAACAGTTTCTTCACGGACTAGGCATGCAGAAATAAGCAGTGGATTTTATTGAAACTTAAAGGCATTTTTGAATGACATTGTTACCAACTATTAATTGGCTCAGGACCTTTGTAATTTTTATTTATCTATATGAGTTGTCTTTTTTTACACTGCTTTTTTCAATGCATTTCTTAATATTTTTTAAGTTTCATGAATGCATGCTCAGTTTATTAAAACCCATAACCATGTAATTCTTGTAATATGTTGATTCAGTGTTTTGTAAATGAAGTCGTATGTATTTTCAGAGTATTTTTGTATGTACTGTAAGATACCATCTTTTCAAAGAGAAACCTTTAAAACCTTTACTGTCTCTCTTTAGTCTAATTTTTTAAATATGGATTATGCTTGAATTAGTCTATTTAAAATGGAAATGTATAGAA